TTTTATACCTTGCATATTGTGCTTAGTTTATCAGTAAAAATAGAAAATGTCATTGTACACAGGCGTGGCTCAATCAATACGTGTAGCTTATTTTTAACATTTTATCAATATATAATCTATTTTTCTCAAAGCGAGATACAGTTTATCCTCATTTTCTACACTGAATTTTGCTCTATAACAACCAAGAATTTTGTCCTGGTTTTTTACTAATGAATTCAATTCTGTAATGAATGCTATTTGTGATTGATTGCATATTCAACCCAAGTTGACGACATCCACTATTAATACAGGCGTGAAACAATTTGGGCTGAATGCATACTTGTGATAATTAATAGAATTAAGAAATATCATAATTCCAAAAAGATATCGCTAAGAAGGAAAATTATGATGTTTATGTTAGTCATTAAATTCAATGGACTTAATCTAGTAAAAAACCACATTGAGAAAAAGAAGTAGTTTTTTAAAGTATAAGCTTACCAAATTCAAAGTTTTGTGATGATTGAAATTACTTTTGGAAGAAAAAACTTGAACAAGTTCTCAAAAAAAAAATAATTTGCTATCGGTTCGTTAGATTCAAATTAACTTGCCACCAATAGTCCCAATTAGGGATCATCAATTTTGGCATCACCAAACACAATGTAACCAATGATTTGTAAATGTCAAATAACAAATATATATAATAATAAGTAATAGTAAATAAATTATAGCGATGCATAATTAATTAAATATTTAAAGTACAATTTAATTAATATTAATATTTAATTAATATTTAAAAATTAATATTTAATTAATATTTAAAAATTAATTAACGATCAGAATTCTTTGCTCCTTAATTGTAACTAGTAGAGTAACAGTAATACCAGGAACATGTACCAATCCCAATTTTGCATTTCTTTATCTCTCAGCTGACACCACCACACCAGTACTATCAAGATTCAATGATGATACATCGGTTAATACCATTTTTCTTGTTCTTTTTCCAGCATCTTTCAGTTTCATAGTCTGGATCTTCCTCATCTTCAGCTGTTACGTTTTTAGCAGCTGTGGCACCACCACATTGCGAGTGCTACTGCCGATAATAATTGTTAATTCTTTAATATTTCCCACCTTTACAATTTTTTTCATTCATATTTCTCAACTACTATATCATCATCATTCTTTTTCTCCATTCAATTTTAGGAGTATCTGTCAATTATTTTATTGTTTGTTTTTTATTTATATTAATATTTGGATCCAAAAAAATCGTGTGATATTATTTTCGTGTAACATATACAATTAGTTAGTATATAGCCGGATAATGTTGTTAATGCTAAAAAAAAAATGAGATGATGATATGAATAAGATCAATTCATATGAATAAACATCCATAAAAAAAAAAGATATTCTCCATAAAGCTGTTAATCACAAGATAGCACAAAATTTACCGAGTTAAACGTTTCTCTTTACCAAAATAGTTTAATATAAACTTGTTTAAATAAAAAAATTATTATGAATAAATATATTGATATCACTATGAAACAAGTTGATTGAAGATAATGAAAGATAAATTTTTACATCCCTTCAATCCCTTCTTTTATTCTTGTTGCATATCTTATCATATATAATAAATGCGAGATTCTCCACCAGATTTTTTATCAAAATTACATAAGATTGATTTGATTACACATGGTTTTTCCTTTTTTATCTTATATATAATATATATGCAAGTTTTTTGGTGAATGACTTCAAATTCATATCATCATTTTAGCTGATGATAATTTTTTAAATCAAAAAATATATATATCAGATAAGTTTGTCTCCTGAACTCTTTTTTTTTTCTTGTTTATCATATTCCAATTTAGATGTGATCATCATCTTTAACTTTAAAATTATATCCGAGATTTACCAATTGAAAAAATGGACCAATAAAAATACAAATTTATGATTCAAATTTGTAATCTCTAAAATAGGAAATGTGAATAGAAATTCATATTACGTTATTAAGAATATCAAGTCATATTTAAAAGAAATTAAGAACATTTATAACATCTAGATAAAGTAAGAATTAATGAGTGAAGGGGTTGAAACATAATTATTGTGTGTGAAAAGAAAATTGGAAATCAACTAAAAATTATTATGTTTTTATTTATTTGAATTTAAACTTTTGATTGAATTTAAACTTTATTTTGAATTTAATTTGACTTTGGACTGTATTTGATTGGGATTTAAATAAATCGTAAAATAGTTATTGTTGTTATTTTATTATTGTTGTTATTGTTAATGGCAGCATTATTGTTTTTTAACAATTGCAATTTTACGTTAATATGCCTATAGTAGCAAATAATAACAACTAATTAGTAGTAATGTTTCTAGCATTTATTACAAAAATAAATTTTCCTTTCCAACAATCTTTATAAAACCGCGCGCCCAATAAATAATAATCTCGTTCAATATATCACACGCATATATATATATATATATGCGAGATTTGGATGAACCACTTTACCAAAATTGAACTTCCAAATAATTCAAGCTGTTCCATATATATTTGCTATACCAACATTTATAAATAATATATTGTATGTGAGAAAAAATAACAAAAACATGATTTTTTTGTGGTTTTCGGTTTTTAGTTTTGATTTTGTGTTTGTTTGTTTGTTTGTTTCTCCCAGATCTATTGACAATAACCATTGCGGAATGTTTGATTTGTTATTAGCAGAATATACATATATTTAATTGTTTCAAATTTATTTTCGAAAAGAACGAATTTTTTATGTGTAAATATTTTATTATACACACATACATCTAATATAATATTTTATATTTCAAATGTACAACACATCCATCATATACAAAAAACATTAAAGTTTTTTTTTGTTATATATGTACAACGACATAATTATTCAAAGGGGGTCGATACATTTATTATTAATATACACACACACATTAAATTATATAATTAATCTATATTTATTTATTTTATTTTATTACGAAAAAAATGTATAAATATTTATTTTTTTAAAAATTTTCTTTTATATTTTTTGAATAAAAAATCAATTATTTTTTTTCCACAATAAACAAATAAAAAAAAAAACATATAACTATATATAACCATATAATATTTAAAATAAAAAAAAAGATATTTTTTTTTTTTAATTATTTTGCCTTTTCTCTTTCCAAAGAAATTCGAAAAAATATTATATAAAATCGACAAAATAAATTATGTTGACAAAAGAAAAATTATTATTGTACAATCAAAATAATAAAAAACGTATATATATCATAATTTTATTTATTCTAACAACAATATTACTACTACTGTTATCATCGGCCATATCACATAAAAAGATTCTTATTAATGATGATAATGACGATAATAATAATAAATCATTATCAGAAACTGTCTTTTCCAATATGACATTAAATCAAGGTAAAAAACATTTCATAAATTTTGAAAAATTTCAAAAAATTTTAAATCATTTATTAAAAAAAATATTTAAATTATTGAATTTTTTAGAAATAGACTGTTCAATTTATACTTCGTGTGGGGAATGTACGAGTCACTTAGAATGTGGATACTGTGTCGCGGTAAGTTAAACATCGCCATCATCAATAATTGGTTCGATATTGATCTTTATTAATCATCCAAAATCTATGTAGACGGGTGAATGCGTACAAGGATCTTGGGACGCGCCATTTAAAAATCGATTAATTTGTAGTAAAAATAGATGGGAATATGAATATGCGCAATGTTTTGGTATATATGATTTCTATATATATATATATATTAGATGGAAGAATTCTTTAAAAAATATTAATTCATTCATTTTCAATAATTTGTAGTAACACACCAACAGGCACTTATATCTATAACATCAGCTTTATTTGGTATATTATTACTATCGATAATATTATGTCTTTGTTGTTGTATATGTAGATGTTGCAGAGGGGGTGGTGGCGGTAATATAGACGAGGAGAGATCTCCACTATTACTAGGCGATTCAATTGCCACAAACCATTTCAGACGTGCATCATTCTATAATTATAATCGTAATAGACCGTTTGAACGTAGAACTAGAACAGTGAGCATTGGCACGGCAAATAACATTTCAAATTATGGTAGAAACTGGCGTAACAGTACGACAGATGATTATTTGTATGGTGGCTATGGTTATAATTATGGTGGCTACGGAAATCTTAGTGTTGGTTATGGTACTAACGGTGCTGGTTATGCTGGCCATGCAAACACTTCTGTTGTATGGGTCAATAATGATACTCCAGATGTATCTCCACCAACTTCATCCACCACTAATAATTCAAACACTCACAGCAATAACAATAATGTTTCTCACCACACTAATGATTTTCTTCCGAATAATGGGTTTGGAAATATGGAATGGAGACGATGGGAGAAAAAACGTGAAGAATTATTATCTAAATATGCCAAAAGTATTAACGAATAGATATAGCTATAGATAAATAAGAACGTGAACAAGAGGAGTGAGCGAGCGAACGATCCGATTCAATTGGTAGTGCATTAGTAGTAAGTTAGCAATAGCAAAAAAAAACTTTTTCTTTTGATATTTTTTTTTATTTATTATTTTAAATTTTTATTGTAAAAAAGTTATTTTTCATTTTTCATTTGTTTTTTTTTTTTTTTTTTTTTGTAAATTTTAATTTTATTATCACAAGTTAATTTTTATTATTTAAATCCCAATCTAAAAAGAAAAAATAATAATTGAACATTTTAAAAAAAATAATATTTATTAAATTAATTATATTATATTACATTTTTTTTTAATCCTTAATATTATTATTCATTATTCATCATCATTATTTAAAAAATTCATAAAAAATTCATTTTTTTCCCTATTAGTTTGTAAAAAAAAATATTTTATTAGATAAAATTCAAAATGTATAAATTATATTTTGAATGAATATCTGATTGATGACGAAAACACGCCATTTTAAAAGTTTTTTTTATTATTAAATAAAAAAAATAAATATATATATTTTTGTAATTAATTGTCTTCCAAGATTGTTTGAAAATCTTCTAATAATCCATTAAATCTTTTTATTATGCTTAAATAACCCTCATCATTTCCATATGATAAATTATCGCCGCTAACATTTGTAATTTTTATTACATGTCCAACAATTTCACCCTACACAAATAATAGTGAAAAATTCAATTAGTATATATATCGCATTATTATCTTGTGATCAATAACTTAATCAATGGGGTGATCTTACTAATTCTATATGATTTCTATTATCATTATTTGTAACATCTCCTCTTTCCATCCTAACGGATTCCGCCAAGGCCTCAAGATTTAAAATGAATGTATGAATTTCTTCCAATTTCTATCATCACAATCATCACGATCATTATTATTATCAAATCGTTATCAAAATCATCATCATCATCATCATCAAAGAATCAATCAGTCAGTCAAACAATCAGTAAAAATCTTATCAAAAAAAAAATAATGAAAAAATTTAACAAACTTTTCTTTCTTTTTCTTCAATTTCATATGATTTCCTTTCATTTGATAACCTTTCACAAACAAGTTTTCTTTTTGATGCAACTTTATGTAATTCATCTTGTAATTGTTTACATTTTGACTTTATCAAATCTAAAGAAAACTGTAACCTCAGCTGTTTTCTAAGAAGAAATGACTAATAATGATAATAATAATTTATTTAGCAATTTAATCAGAAAAATGATCAATCAATACTATACGATTTAATTAGTTAATTTTGCAAACCTGCTTTGTTAATCGAATCTCAATTTCTTTTTGAAAATATCTAATTTTATCTTTGAATATATTGTCATCTTCTAATACATTCCTTTTTTAAAAGAATATTATATATAATTTTAAAAATGTTGCTAAATATATATTTAAAAATGTTAAAATATTTGATTACTTACAAAAACTCTTCAATAACTGTATCAATACAATCTCCAATAGTATTAAATTCATTTATTTCTGGAACATTTATTCCTCTGCTAATTGATTCCACCAACTCATAATTATCAAATTCTTCTTCTTCCTCATCACCCTCATCACCCTCATCACCCTCATCACCCTCATCAACCCCATCAATCTCATCAACCCCATCAACCCCATCAACCTCATCATTGGTATCAATACAATTCCCAATAGTATCAAATTCGTTTATTTCTAGAACATTCATTCCTCTACTAATTGATTCCACCAATTCATAATCATAACTATCATCATTAGTATCAATATAACTTCCAACAGCATTAAATTCTATTTCCGGAACATTTATTCCACTACTATTTGATTCCACCAACTCGTAATCATAACCATTAAGTTCTTCTTCTTCCTCATTATCCTCATCACTACTATTATCAAGTTCATTTGGAACATCAATATTTAATGTAAATTTACTGCTTTGTCTTTTATTTCTATAAAATTCTCTTGGCAATTTGGTAAATCTTCTATTGTTTGGAATTAAACTTTGATCTACATTGTTATTGTTGGTTTTTTTGTTATTGAGATCTTTTGTAACATCAATATCCAGTTTGAATCTGTTGGATTGTCTTGTATTGTTTCTATAATATTCTCTGGGTTCTCTGACAAACCTTCTGTTTTCTAGTAATCGTTTAATTTTATCATCGTTATCAAGTTCATTTGGAACATCAATATTTAATGTAAATCTACCACTTTGTTTTTTATTATTTTTATAAAATTCTCTTGTTGACAATTTGCTAAACCTTCTATTGTTTTCGTTTTCTTGTATTACTTGTTGTAATGGATTCATTTCTTATTTTCTTTTATTTGTTTGTATATATATATATTTTATCTGATCATCATTTCGTAAACGCGAACTTGAATGTGACACAATTCAAAATAAACAATCTATACACAACTAAATAATTGGCATCCAAACTTTCGATTATTTTTGACAATGAAATATTTGCATGTATAAGAAATGTCAAAGGTAAATAAGATAACTATTGAAGATTTCCTTTTCATATGGGGCCTGTTCAATAGTAATAGAAACGAGGAATGTTGCCCAAAAGTCAATTTTTTTCATTTAGACAATCTGGGTATTTTTAAAGTGTATTACTTCAAGGCTTAAATATTTAAAATATCATAGTTGTCCTCATCTTCCTTGGTATTTCTCTGGAATCTATTGAATTTGCATTGTTGTTGTCAAAGAAACTGTTAAAGTCTCTTGCCTGTCCAACATGTTCAACTGCTGCAACTGAATCAAGATTAGTAAATTCGTTAATTTGGATTAATGGATTCTACCCCATTAAAAATTTAATGTTAAGCAACTTTAACATTAAGAAATTTAGCATCTGATGGCACATAACATATTTTCGATTTTATAATTATTGGACTAACTATATGCTGTATAAATAACCGATTAATTTAGCTTGTTTTAATTTTAGAAAAATATCAACTTTGAAATTATTCGCTTTCGTTGGTTTATCACCTTTTTCAAGACTTTGCAATCATTATTTTGCTACTAAGCTTGTGTTTATGAATGTCTAATTTTTCATCTCGCGTTTCAAAAAAAAAGAGATTTCCTTTGTACACTATCCTTCTTAAAATAATATATTTTTTCTTTATTTCTAATTTTTTTTTAAAAAGAAATTGTCATTGTTAACACAGAATAAAAGAAAAACGGGGTCACTCAGAGAGGATACAAAACAGTAAGTATTATTAGAGAACCCCGAGCAATGTTAGAAACCATTGGTTCAAGCTCTAGTTTAAATCTTTATTTTCATATGTAAGTAAGTTAATTACATTAACAAAGTTTGTTTATTTATATTTTAACTAATTTGATTTAATAAGTTTGGGCTATTGTGGATCTAACTTCCAAGGATGAAGGATACATAAGCAATAAAAGAAAATAAATCATTATCATTATAAACCAGGATCAGATCCAGTATTTTGGTGGCATTAAATATGATTAATATGATATGCCAGTGGACTTCAATTGCAAACCATGGTATAAACGACCAAGTTAAATGAAATATTGTTGAAGCGATAACAAATAATCTAAGCACAAAATAAACATTAATTTTAAAATAATGTATTACATACATTTATTTGGAAGATGATTTAATACTGTTTCCAAATCAATGTTAATGATAATGGTGTTTGATAATGTTGATGATGTTGATATGGAAATTGATAATCTTGATAACGATACAATAATAATAGTAATAGTTTGGGTTATTATCCATCAAATCTCGTGGTAGACTCTTTATTTGTACAAAGATATGACGCAAAGAATTTAACATGATGATGATGATATGGTGTTTGTAAGTAGATTATCAAAATCTATTCTTTTAGCTATTATCTCTCTACCCATGAAACTGAAGAATTATCTGATCTTTTGTCTTCCCACTTGGATTGAATTAATGTCGAAACTGGCAGATCAAGAAGTTCTTTTTAGATAAATATTGTTACTGATTTTTGATGCCTCCTTCGCTTTTAATTAATTTGATTCTGTTAATTTTTCTGAAAAACATAAGGAAAATGTAAGCTAGTGATTATTGTTAGTAGTACAATCGTGATGTTAACCAATTTTGAGAAACTTTACGTGACATTGTCTGAACACCTAAATCCGGATTAGTTAATATTACTCGATCAATTGAAAAGGCCAAGAGACCTTCTTTTCTTTTTAAGGCGATCAAGAAGATATCTTGTTCTGTTTTAGAGAGGATTTGAATGCTTTACGCAGTTCTGCAAACACTTTTTTGGAACTAACCACATTTACAACCTTAAAGTGTTTTATAATTACACATGCAAACTCGATAAATCGGACGCAGCAATCGATTGTTCAAAGTACTCGATAATATAAATAAATGACCGACTTATCGAGCTTTATTCTGTTTAAAAATTATCGTTGATATTAAGAAAAATAATACATACGTGGTTAAACACTTGTAGTTGTATGATCATAGCTTTTAATACCAATATGAATTTAGTTAAAAGATTTTAAATTCAACAATTTAGAAAATCATGCGATTCACGATAACTTTTCATATTAGTATTAGTCATTAACATGCAACTTTTTAAAATTTCTGATTTTTGTTAATTATAACGGGCGTGACTTGTATAGTGGGAAATAGCATTGATACTTCTCCAGCTTGACTTTCGGCTAATCTTTAACTTTTATATTGTAGTGCGTGCGATCAAGGAAAATACTTTACAGGGGTAACGCACAATATATATAATAATACATTAAAGTCAGAATATAATACGTAATTGTTTGCCGCTAGTTTTCCTGATGAAGGCAAGTTTATTATTATTTCCTATTAATTACAATGATTAATTGATTAATTGTGAGATGATCATCAACATATTTCATAGCATAAAAGTTTTATCTGCGCAGATAGGAAATTATTATTGATATAATTTTTTTCCTTTGCTTTGAAAAAAAACCCCATCTACTTTGAGGATGTAAAATATTGTTGTTTCCGCAACAAGTTCTCGATTCACCATCAATTACCAGTAGATCAATTTAACTAGCACGCGTCGTTAATATTAGTGCATGTCAAATAAAGATCTGCAAGGAAATTTATAGATCCCGTGACCGCAACATAAATCTGTCTGATTAATAAAAATATGTTGTTTTCTTCAAAAACCCATAAAATAGAAAAACCTTTGCTGTTTTCAATGCTATGGGTATACGATCTACGAATATGAATTTCATTTTCCCACGTTAGACAGGGACATGGTAAATGGATACTAAATTTTTGACCCCTAAAATTTTTTGACATCCAATGTTCAATCTAAAATAATTGTAATCAGTGAGGCTTTTTTTTTTTTCAACTTTTCACATATACCCTTAATTTTCCTTTTTTTTTTTATTTTTTTATTTTTAAAAAAAATTACCTAAATTTCATCTTTACACAAACTTTGTTTTTTTTTTATCTTTATTAAAAATAAAAATATCTTTAGTTTTTCCCAACACTATTAAAAAAAAAAACTAATTGTTACCATTAAAAATTTATAATTTTTATTCCTCAAATTTTTTTTAATAAACTAAATTTATAACAATGGCTCGTACTAAGGTAATAATATTCTCTTTTTTTTTTTTTTTTTTTGATAGAGAGCGTGTAGTTATTAAAACGACTTGAAAAAAAATTTAAATATATAAATGTAAATTATAGCAAACTGCACGTAAAAGTACTGGTGGTAAAGCTCCCAGAAAACAACTTGCTACCAAAGCAGCTCGTAAATCAGCTCCTACAACTGGTGGTGTCAAAAAACCCCATCGTTATAGACCAGGTACCGTGGCTTTACGTGAAATCCGCCGGTACCAGAAAAGTACTGAACTCTTGATCAGAAAGTTACCTTTCCAACGTCTCGTAAGAGAAATCGCTCAAGACTTCAAAACCGATTTACGTTTCCAGTCAAGTGCTATCGGTGCTTTACAAGAAGTAAGTTTTCTTTGCCATACATTCGCTCACATATATCACATGTATATGTTTAATAATGATAGTGATTTATGATTTTATGATTTATCATAGGCAGCTGAAGCATATTTAGTTTCTTTATTCGAGGATACAAATTTGGCAGCCATTCATGGTAAATAATTCAAATATTATACACTTACATAACCATTATCATTATCCAATTAATTAATTATTTGTTTATTTTTATAGCCAAACGAGTCACAATCCAACCCAAGGATATTCAATTGGCTCGTCGTCTTCGTGGAGAACGGTCTTAAATAGCTTGAATATAAAATAAATAAATTTTTACGCAGGATTTTATATTGCTTTGAAATCCAAAAAAAGTCAATTTTTATATTTCTCTACTTGCAATATCGATTAATATTTTTTTAAAAAAATATAAATAAAGAATGAATTAAGTAGTTTATTTAGCTATAGATAAATCCTTTATCAATTGCTTATTACTTAATTAATGGCAAAATAAAATATCAAGAAATTTAATATATAAATATATTTTTTCCTTTATAAAAAGAAATGATTTTATACACTATTTACTTACATAATATAATAAATAAAATAAATAGATTAATATTTTAGTACTTTTTTTATTAATAAAGATTTTTTTATTACTTGCATGATGATAAAGACTTGATCAATATATTAAAGTTTTGTGATCCTAGTTGTTTAATAAAATCTATATATAATGTACACACGTGCGTGCGTATATAAAAAATTAAAAAATTCTAAATGTTCTCGTTAAAAAAAAAAAAAAAACAAATTAAATTAATGAAAAAATATTCAACTGATATAAATTGTCCTTTTTTTTGTATAAATTTTCAACATAAAAATATTTTTACACAGAAGAATTATTGAGATCATAGAATTGATTTAATAAACCCATTACACCTCCATTACGTGGTCTGTCCTCATGTTCTATTGAATCGAACATTTGATTCATAGTATTATTTATTTTATTAGCAGTTAAAAGGTATGAATCTCCCAATTCACTTGCAAATCCAGTAGCAACATTTTCTTCGTCGTCGTCAACATTAGATGGTTTTTTGTCTCTTGTAGAAGTTTCGTAACCATCTATAATAATAATAATAATGTTAATAATGTTCATAATATTGAATTATTAAATCTAATATTGTTTAATGTTATTAATTACCTGTAGCGCCAGTATAGTCCATATCATTATTGTTATAATATCTTGCTGACGATGAGGATATATTATTATAATCGTTGCTATTGGGTATTTCAAAGTGAACATTATTACTGCCTTTTCTATTATGAGGTTTAAGTATGGAATCCATCACAGAACTACGGATATTGTTACTAGTGCTATGAGATCGTTGATGGTGACCATATTGCTCTTGAATAATTTGATTATTAAAATCAGCCATCTTACTAAGAAATAAGGACCCTGTTGGATCAGTTGGTTCCCAATCCGGATGATTTGCCTTTAGTAAAGGATATTAATATTAATATTAGGGAAAGAAAAGAATGATAATAATAGCGATTATCATTATTATAGAATATATAGAATGTATATACTTTAAAGTTCAAAAAACTCTTTTCCATCTTCCCATCCTTTGAAACATAATACTCGTTATGTGCTTCTGTTGGTGCACCATACTAAGTAAGATACAATCAGAGAGAAGAAATATTAGTTAAGATTTTTTACTCTGCGGGAAATTTCTTTTTTATGAATAATTATTATCAATACCTTGACATCTCCATGTTTTTTGAAATCAAAAACTGCAAAACTACACACATAACCAATATCGTCAACATGCACAGTGAATTCACGAAAGAAATCTACAATATCCTGTAAAAAATTGAGAAAATAAATGATTAAAGAAATAATATTTATATATAGTAAAATTTTATTTTCTTTTAAATAAATAAATTGGTTGAATTTCAAAAAAGGATATGACTACATTTTGGAAGTGAAAACCACAATATGAAGGGTGTTAAGATAACACTGAATATTTCCTGAAAAAAAATAGTCGTTTTACAATCAAATAATTCTAATAATTCTTTTCGAACCTAATAAAATAAAATAAAATAAAATAAAATTTTAAGATTATTAAAATATTAATTTTATTATCATTGCTATTATTATTATTATTATTATTATTATTATTATTTACTTCATCGGTATGTAACTTTTCTTTCCATTTAACAGGCGAATAATGAATATAATCGACAACTTTTTGTAATCTGGCTTCAGGTTCATAAACCATGTGTTCATCATGAATCATTGCGCGGCTAATGGCTAGAATTGGCACAAAGATTCCGGTATAAGAAAATACCGTCATACCAGGTGTTACATCAAAATTAATAAATAATTCAGGATCTATATATGAAGCTATCAACAATACTGCTGTAAGTGATCCGACAATAAAAAGCACAAAACTTTATTTAGTTTGTAACAAACAATAAAATAAAGTTTGTTAGTTTATTAACTTACTTTTCCAGTGAGAAAAACAATAATGATGGCGAAATAAAATATTTACCGAGTTATCAATATCGTTTTTTCTTTTGGAAATTGATCATTGTATTTGTTAGCAGCTTTATAACTTTTATCTAATCTTTGTTGAAATAAATGTGGCAATTCATTGAACTCTCTAAACTTCCATCTTGCATATGATGTCCACTCTCTAGAAAAAATATTACCAGGATTTGTTTTATATTCCTAATATTTTTAATCATAAAAATTTAATAATAATGATAATAATAATGTTATATATATATAAATTGATAGTTACTTCGAAATAACGGAAAAAGAAAAAAATCAACGAAAAGACCACTATGAAAGGTGCAAATATAAAATTGATAATTCCTACGAAAATAAATCGAGATTTTAACCTAATATTTATTCAAATAATAAATAAAAATTAATATTAATAATTAATAATTAATTTTTATCAGGAATTTAAACAGGTAGTTACTTACTCTTCGATTAACTCGTTTCTTTTGCCATCTTTAATAAATATTTTTCTGACTTGTCCTTGATCATTAAAAACATAATTTAAAATGCAATAATTTAAATTAAATTCTAAAGCTTTGGTTAAAAATTGTCTTCGCTCAATAAATGGAATAGGAACAGTTAAATTTAAATATTCTTTATTAAATAAAGCTATTAGATAATTCTCTTGTCTCATTATCCTATTTGTTATATTGTGTGCATCTAAACGTTCATGAGAACCTTGATTAGTGTTTGATGTCATTGGATTATTTTTTTTGATTTTTATTATTTGATTAACGACTTTTTGCCAGGATGTTGTTTGCATGTCAGCCTGCAAATTAATAAAAGAGAATATTAAAAAAAAATTTCAAAACCAAAATAAATATTCTTCCAGTAAATTATACTTGCATCTGGTATTTCGAGAAGATAAGTATAAAAGTTGTACATATCGAGTAATTTCTTAATATCCAATACAAATCTAACAACTTGAATAATCCAAAAACCACTAAATACTAGAAGGAACAGCTTTGAAAATCCTGACATTCTTTAAAAAAAATTTTCAGAAAGAAATTAATAATAAAATTAATATAATTAATACTTTATAGTAAATAATAATATTACAACATACCGACTGACACAATTTGGTATTATTACTTGCGATAAACTTTTACTATTCCTTACTAATGAATAATCTACACATCCGAATAAAAATGTTGAAAATCCGATAACAAATGCTATAGTTCTATAATATATTTATATTAATGTGAATAATATAATAACGATAATAATAATAATGATAAACATATAACAATACTACTTACAACAAACTTAAACATCTACTTAGTAAAATACAATATAATCCTTTTCCAATATAATATGCATAAACCTAATATTTCATAATAATTGGATTAATAACAATATCCATAATACGAGTAACGGTAAGAAACGATGAAAAGTAATTAAAAAAGTGTTTAGTACACGTTCAAAAAACACATCAAGATTTTCTACATTAGCCCATTTCCACATCGTCTGTTCTTTAATATCACCCCCACCAGATCTATGAGATGCAATAGACCTTGCACGTGATGGTGGTGGTGGCTGTTGAGCAGGAGGCGTTTCAATTATCAAAGAAGGCGGTGCTTCATTACTATCAATGTCTGAATCTTCATCAAGTTCTTTGGTAGGTATTTGTTGATATCTTTGCTTATTTGTTAAAAATGATTGAAATACTGGTGCACGGGAAGATGTATTAGGTCTTTGTGATGATGAGGCAGAAGCTGATGAGGGATTACGTTGATGTCGTTGTCTTTTTTGTAAAATGTAACTGTCTGATGTATCGTTTTCTTCATTGTCATCGTTATCGTCTTGGAAAGCAACATACGGTGTTTCATTTGAATTAAATCGATTGAATATCGATTGATCTGTCATTTTTTATTTTTATTTTGATAAATAATAAATTCTTTCGAATTTTTTAAAAAAAAAAGAAAAAAATTTTTTTTTATTTATATTTGTCTGTCATTGACGACAACGCACAATAACTATATAACAATTTATTCTATTTTGATCGACATTAGTATTGGTGACAAAATCGATTGTTGATCTTTTTTATGTTGTGAAACATGTGAAAAATAGGGCACAAAATTTGTTTAGCCCAAGATACATTTTTTTTAACGCATATATGGTGGTGGTGGTTATCGCCACTTGTCGTCACTCTAGTTATCATAACCTGTTATTCTGGTAATGCATTATATACAACTCTAGTTCTAAAAAAATCTCATTTGCAAAAAAATAATAAATATATAGGAAAAAACAAAAATCAAACAAACATTACCATCAAAACATACCAATAAACTTATTAATGATTTAACAAGATTATTGGATTTTTTTTTACAATATGGAAATAACAGTTGGAGAGGAAGATGATGCTAAAACCTTCAAAGCCCATTCTGTTATTTTAAAAACAAGATCTTCATACTTCAGAGCTGCTTTATCAAACAATTGGATGAACAAATCTGAAGAAGGTGTCATTTTATTTGAAAAAAAAAATATATCTCCAAAAATATTCAAACCAATTTTAATGTAATATTAGTTTAATTTAATTTGATTAATTTGATTAGTTATATGGCAAATCTAAAATTATTAAAAAATTTTTTTCTAAAAGGTACATGTACAATGGAATTATCAATATGGACAATTTGAATATTGATGAAATTGTTGAACAGGGTTGATTTGTTTTAATGATGGGATGATCTTTAATAAAGTGATGGTTAGAGATTGTGTGGTTGGCACTTGTTCAACTTCCCCGCATGTGATGAATTAAATTTTGGTGAATCTGATTTTAATGAATTACTTGATGATGTACAAAACCATTTGATTGCAAATGAAAAAGAATAGAGACTGGATCTTTTAAATTATTTATATCAAATTTCATCAAATAATCAATCACTTGGTATATTCAATGACCATATTGAAAAATTAATAGCAATACACCATCATGTCTCCTAAAATCCAATGATTATAAAAATATCAAAGAACTGATGCTCATATTTATTTTAAAAAAAGATGTTTTGGATTAGAAGAAACTGATATTTGGAATCATATCATTCAAAATTAAACCATATCAAATGTTATTTCCTGAAACTTTATGGAATAATATTTAAACTCCTTATGAACAACAAAATTCAAATTTATCATCATTAAGAATAGTTTCAACAATGCTCAATCATGAGAAGCAAGCTTTGCTTTTTGCAAGTAAGATTGCTCATGAAGTTCTACCATACACTTCACTCAGAAAAGCCAAATATGACTTCAAATTATTATAATGCAGCAGTAGAGATGGTCTAGAACCAGTTACATTTCATCAAAAATGTGATAACATCAAAAAAACTCTTGTAATTGCTAAAATGGGGCATGCTGCAACAAAACCAGACAAAGTGAACATTGGTATTACCAAGAATTTCAGGGACCAAAGTTTAGTC